TGATTATTAACAAAAAAAAGAAAAGCAAGGGTAATTCCATGCATGGGCTAGATCCAGCCCTATGGATATACAGATGCCTCCTCGATGGGCACAGCTCGGAGTGCCTGCACTCTCACTAAAGGGAGCCAGTCGACAGGTTTAGTGCACCCTGCTCCGCTTTCTTCACCTCTCCTCCCCTCTCACACTCCTCCTGAGAAGCAGGCATGGCTCTCAGACGAGGTGCAGCAGGAAGCCTGCTCGCCTCTTCCCAGGAAGATGTGGTGGATAAGGGCTCCTGCGAGGCAAAGCAGCTGGCTAGAAGGCTGGGTTTGGCCCACAGACCAAATACTGCCTTGCTATATCTTATTCAAAAGACAAGAGAGTCTTGTCAGAAGCATCTGTATGTGTGTAATTTTGTCCCATATAAGGTCATGGCAATTTCAATCTCCATTTTCACACTGGCATACCTAGAGCATCACCTTTCCTCCAGCAAATATAATTGATCTGATTCAGACAATGGGTATCTCAACCCTTTTTTAAACAAGCATTTTAAACCAAAAAACGGAAAAAAATCTTGTTCATTTCAGCACAAACAATTAAACCGGGCAAAAATATATATGGAATATCAGGATGTTTGTTTTGAAAGAAGACTATCCAATGCCATTCCTATTAATTAACAGAGTATTCAGAGATTTGGAAATCTGCTCTGGAACTGGGGGAGTGGAATAGCTTAATCAGCCCTTCTTTCTGCCAAATTCCTAGGCCTGCGTGCATGTCTTCTCTGCTCAGTGACACACAACAACAGAGGTTCAGGAAGGACTCGCAGACCTAGGATGTACGTAGCCCTGCTCTGCTCAGGGCGTGGTGAAAGGTCACGGAGTTTTACAGACACATTTTCAGCACATTTTTCTGAGAGTGAATGTTCAGTTCTCCCATGCTCTTCTCATGCAGCTTTCTCTTCTGCTAAGCTGGCATGCATTTCTGGGAAATTAAAATGAGCTGAATGGTGATGGCCTGTTACTTAAGGGGCTTACTGTATCAGGATATTGGGATTGGGATGTTTTCAGGATTTATTGGTCATGTCCATAGTAGTGAATAACATGCATCAGGTACCACTCCCTGGTCCTAAACCCAACTTGCTCAGTGAGGCTGGCACAGACCTTCCCCCCTTGCCCCATCCCATGCTATGCCAGGCTGCATGCTCACAGCTCAGCAGCACAGACAACCTCAGATGCAGTCCCCAAGTCCTGCAGACCAACCAAACTAAGCTGACCAGTTGGACTGCAACCTTCAGCCACCAAGTGAAGAGCAGCTGCAACTACTGTGAGACAGCAATTCTGTAACTGGACTCTTCTCAAAGGTGAAAAGTGTTACTGGGTTAACACATCATGATCAAATACATCGCCGCTCTAGTGTCTGTAATGATCTATACTGCTTTTTCCCAGATGTGGAAAAATTCCAGAGGCAGGTGGTTTGGTCTCAATGCTATTTTTATGTAACCAAAGCACTGCAGAGACATGAACTATAAGACTGCTGAGGTTGTCTCCCTTCTCAACCTTAGTTTTTGAGCTTGCACATCCAATCTTGGACCAGGGCAATCAAAGAAAACTAAAAAACTTGTCAAATGTTGTACCTCAAAACACAACAATTTCTGGTCAAATACACAAGGTATATGAAGTGTATACAAGATATATGAAGTCTCATCTGAAAGATGAGATGACTTTTCTGTTCTACAGGAGTAGAGATCCAAGAAGCATTACTGAAGGAAGAAGATTTCACCTTTTCCCCCAATTAGCTATGGAGTGTTGAGGTTCACAGACCTTTAACAGCTCTCAGAGCATAACACTGCTTCAGGCGTTCCAGCAATCTCAACCACCAGTGCAACATCCTAACCATGCTCGGTTGCAAGGCCGTGCTCACGCTCAGAGCTGTCGCTAGAAATATTGAAATGCAGTCAGGAATTTATCCTGTTCAACACCCTTCCACATAGTCCAACACAGATAAATACGTTCCAGTGGATCCAATTAATCTCCTAAGGGTTACTTGGCCTTGCTAACAGCGTCTTTCTTGTCTTTTGCTGTCTTCTTTGGAACTGAAACACACAAATTCAGTGGCTTATCTCTCAGCTTGCTTCCCATCTCAGTAGCCAGTTCCAGCTGCGTCTGCAACGAGCCATGTGCTTTCAAACGAGTAGTAACCGCTCCTGAGCGCAGCGTGAAACGTAATGAAATTCCTGGTCCAAGTTCAAGCAGACTGGAAGAGGAGGAGAAACCGCTTCCCAAGCTGGGCACAGGCAAGTTCCCACAAGTGCTTATTGAGAACACACTGTCCAAATCCACCAAACTGGAGTGAACACATCGGTGCATAATTACCATTAATCTTTGCACTGTACACTCCAATGACTGAATCCGTCACAGAACCTAATCCAGGACTCTGACAACAGTCTTCACGGTAGTACTTTTCTTTGTTTTAGCTGTCTTTTTACCTTATTAATCTAAGCAACTATTAACCTGAGCAGTTTTACCAGCAAAACTCCTGGATTTGTAATGTTTGCTATTTACTTTAGTAGACCTCAAGTACTACCAAAGTAAACCTTCTTCAGAAAAAAATATACTTTCTTTGCAAGTTGATAAGCATTCAACAAGAACATGTACCAGATATAACAAGCAATTCTAAAAGGCACCTCCTGAGCAACTATTGGGAAAGAACTTACTGAACCATCTCTAACTATGTGAGCAACAGCAACGTTTATTCTAAACTACCAACAAACCATCTCATAATGCCTATCTTTACTAACAGAGTAACCCACTAAGGCAACAAAATGGTATTTAATGAGAATTTCCTTAAAAGGTTTGGGATGGCTGAAGGGATGGGTGGGGTGGGCAGTTCTAACATGCTAGGACCATAATGGTAACCGGATTAGGCCAGGGACCATTCTCTGGCCTTGACAGCAAATGACAAGCAGAGTTTGCATCCAGGTGGGCAAACTCTCACCTCCAAGAAGAGTGGTGTCATCCCTGCGACCTACTGGAAACAGTCCCTGGCCCATCTGTGAGGATCCCTTGAAGATAATGCCTGGGAGATTGCACAAGCCAAAGCCAGGCGAGGGGGTGCTGTAACAACTAAGGTGTGCAAGATCATGGGCTCATGTTTGTATCCTCATTTGCTTCATTCACTACCCTGATATGCCACAGAGCCTCCAAGGAGAAGGCTCCACCATCTGAGCAATGCCTGCTGGGGCAGTCCAGAAGGAAACAGAGAAGTAGTAAACACTTAGAGAAGAAGTAGCCTAGAGAAAGACTGTTTCTACTCCTTTTTCTACCAGAAATAAGTCTGTATTTTTTCCTCTTCTTTCAGTTCTGACTGCCAGCTGGATGAGCTGTCTCAGACTGACACTGCCCTTCCACCTGAGATATATGCAATATCAATCATTCTGGCTGGTGAAAGGTAGTGAGCAAGAAAGGATGAATACAGAAAATAAGCCCAGTAGATGGAAGAAATTTAGAAAGATTATTTTTCTTTTTGTTTTTCTTAATATTTCATTCCCTCGGTCCAATGAAATTACTTATCTTTATGGCACAATTTAGGAAAAGAATTGACCCACAGTTTTGTATATACTAATCAAAGCTGAGTTAGACAACAAATAACATCCAGAAATGTGACTGTTCGTTGGCATTGTCAAGGAAACTCACAAGGAAAAGCACTGAAAAAAGCCAGTGAGGAAGTTAACACAAACCTCAAGAAAGACTTTTAAGGCCAGTTTATCTAAAATACTAATTGACAAAGAACAGGAAGATATGAATTGCAACTCGTATGGCACAAACAGGCTTGGACGGCAGAGAGAAGGTCTCATCAGCTTGAAATGGAGTTTGGCATATGACAGACTGTGAGTATGGGAACTTCTTTAAAAAGCACGTAGGGGAGAGTAGCACTGTCAGGGATTCTCCAACATTATTCGGCAAGCAAATGCCTTTGGCTATGATAGAGAAATCTCCTAAAAGCTTCCCCCAGTTTCTATGAACTCTTGCAGCCTGAGAGCATTAACAATATTGGGAATCCTGTGAAGATGTACCACCCATTGCTGCCGTCATTCTGCCGTTATACTGGCAATATGCAGGTTCTATGAGTAGATTAGTGGGAGTATTTATTTCTAAAAGGATTAATCTGTGGCCATTCATACCAGGTTCTGTGGGAAAAGGATGAGGCCATAACCAACCTCTTACTGCCCTCAGTATTCGACATCTGTTTCCTGTGCAATTGCCAAAACCATTACCAGCATCATAAATGAACCCCGACATCAAAACTGCTTTTTTTGTGAATGAAAAATAGGATGGAAACAGAAAGTCATCTGCTGTTCAACTTCTGGCTGCTTGTAAACATAGAAAGCAAGAATCCAACTGATTTCCAGATGTTGAACAACTCTGCATTGGAAGGAACTTTGTGCACAGAGATCTTGTAGGGCTCCTTAGAATTTTTCCCAAGGTTGTATGATCCTGCTGGATCTCATATATCAAAACAGGATCTTAATGAAAAAGAGACTTTTAAGAAGCAGTCACTATCTGAATGCACGCTGCAACAGAGATGTGATATACACGGTCAGAAAAAGTGGGAAACCATAGTTTTTTGTGATGGTTTGTGATGAAGCGAGTAGTGTTAGCCGAAAAACACCAAGATAAACAAACAGGTAGATTTCAAAATATCCAGTGGAGAGACTTGAATTTGTTTCAAAAATATTGCACTGTTTTGCTAAAAGGAAGCTGTTTCCCATTTTCTGTTACATGATCTTTGACATGGCAGTATAAACTGTCATTTGGTTTTGGTCATGGCAGAGAAGTTGCATTGTTTCTAGAAAGCCCCGATGAGACAGAGAACAGGTAAAAACAAAGTAAAAAAGAGCCCAATTCCAGAAGCAGATGGAGTGGCCTAAACATCCTTGTGTGTTCAGAGTTTGGTTAGATGTTACTGTCTTCTTCCACATACAAGAGTAATAATAACATTAAGCCATAGAAAATCAGACTAACCTTAACTGTCGCCCCAGGAAAGAAAAGCCAGTTGCCAGTATCCACAGGATCAAGATTATCTTCTAACACAACTTTTCTGTGAGCAGCATTTATGATCAGGATGTTGTCCAATGCCCAACAGGCTTCATACACATCACCAGAGTGAACATAATCCTGTTTCCACTGAAAATGGATGTTCTCCCCTTTAGCATCTTCGGGAAGGTACAAGATGTGGATGATTGTGCTGACATTGGACGGGGCGCTGAAAAACAATGATATGGAATTAGACCAAGTTTAAGCCATAGCCAGGAACATTTTTCCCTCATTTAACACATTTACTGGGTGTGACACAGTTGTGCTGACATCTCTTGTATGCTGATAAGTCTTCTACGGAGATCAGAAAATACCTGCCCTGAGGCAGAGTCCCACTGTGCCAGGCAGTGCACACACAGCCCGAACAGACAGCCTTGCTTCAAAGAAAGTGCAAGCCAAGGCAATAAATAACAGACCAATGCAGATGTTTGGAGAGCAGGAAGAAAGAGCAGGGCAACGTTCATACTCGATGCTGGTCACAGCTCCTAGGTGACTGGGCGTTGTCAGGTATTTTGCAGGTATGTCCAAAAGGAAATGTTAAGAAAGCACTTTACAAAAACAGGTCTCCCAAAATGTGATTTTGCATGAGCTTTCACCAAAAGAAACTCCTGACTGCTGGTGCCTCAGTCCCTCGTAGATCTGGATGGAGCAGAATGGCCAGAGGGAAAAGCTGGGAATTTTCTCTGACAAATGTGTCCTTCCAATCCCACACCCCTGCTGCCAGGATAATTCTGTGGATGGGGAGGGCCAGGTTGCTTTGAGAACAATACAGAAGAAACAAGCAATTTGTCCTCTTTCTTGCTGCTGAAAATGTAAAATGTGGGGAGGAGAGGCAGACCTGGAGTATTAATATTAGGCAATGATCAGGGCCTGGAGCTCTGCTTCCCAGAGCTGTCCTCAGAGCTGTGAAAGGATTGAGGTTCATCCCGAGCTCTGGGCGAACGTCTTTACATTGCTACTAGCAATGAAAGGACTGAGCTCTGTGTGCAAGGAAGGGATGCTGAGAATGATTATTTTTGTTTTACTAATCATCCAGCAAGGGAATTAACGACATTAAAACCTCAGGCTGCAAGGAGGTCCAAAATTGTGGTTTGCAAGATGTCAGCTACTCAACCTTGCCTCTGCCTTGGTAGTGATGTTTTGGTGGGTTAATAGTTTGTCAAAAACAATCCAGAGCTTTCAGGGAAAAAAGGCACCAATAGCTGCTTCTATAGGAGAAAAAAGAGGAACTCCTCTTAAGTAAAGCAAAATATTAGTGTAGTGAAATGTCAAAAAGCATCTATATTTGGCCCATATTCGCACCCAGAACCTGCCCCCACAAACCACGCTGCAGTTGCTAAACGTTATGTCTTTCACCCTCCACTGCAATGCTGCTCTGAGATGTTGTCCTTGCTTCTCCCTGAGCCCACACACAGCACCCGCCTTCCCCGAGAGACATCCTTCCCCTCCCTCCCCGGGAGCCCAGCCCTGAAATCCCACCAACACAACACACACCGACACAACACTTTCCCTTCTCAGCTGCCCTCCTGTCCCACCCCTCCCCATTCTCCACCGTTCCCTGGAGCTGCATGTAGCACAGTGAAAGCTGCTGAAGCACATTCAAATAAACACTGTGATTCATACGGACCACAGGAGAAACGAGCATCCTTTCATAATTCATCCTCTCTACTTTGCACCACATTGCTCTATTGACATATTTTCTACTGCCAGCTCCAGCAGTCAAAGTTAGAACAGCACAGACAAACTGCATATGCATTAACTTCAAAAAATTTGGATTTCAAGGACTTTCGAGGGCATCATCACAACTCTTTAGTTTCCTGGCTTGCAAAGCTATGAGGGTAACTGAACTAGGCATATAATTTTGCATCAATATGAGAAAAAAAAAGGTATTGTGTGGTTACTCTGAGGCAACTCCAGTGCCTGCAGTGAAGTTACTCTTGCTTTATACTTACAAGAATTAGGGCCATTTGTTTTACTAAAATTGTTCATAATTTGTGCTTTTGTCAATGAAATTGTAATCCCACTCCCACAAGGAGTGGGAGGATGAGATACTGAAATCCACAGCCTTGCAGCTAGGGTTTTGCTTACTCATCAGAAATTAAGTAGCCTTTTGCTCTGCAAATTGTCTCAATGGACTGAAAATAGGCTCAAGCAAATCACCTGCATGGCACACACACCAAGGTAACGCAGGGAGGCAGATTGAGACACTATGAGGACACTATGTATAAACAGCATTTTTTCTTCCCCAGTTGTACTTCTATAACTATGTATATATGCCAATGCACAAAATACCTTTCCCAATATTATTTAATAAAATGTTCATTCTGCTTTCCTAGAAAAATCCATCTCTGATACTGATTCTGCCTTTTAAAGGCATGCATATTACAATAAAAGATTTTTAAATCCCCATTCATAATCCTTTGCGCTTTCACGTAAACCAGTTTGTTTAAAAAACAAGGCATAATTCACCATAATGTTGTTATTATAGAAGTGTTAGGAGCCAAGTGTTCATATCAAACTATAAACTATTTTTATTGAACATTTTATCCTACCAAAGTAGAAACTTGTAACAGTACAGATTATGGCTCTTGCTGACACGAAAAGTGGTGCTAAAATGCAAAAGTCATCAAAGTTTTGGTTTTTCAGGCACCTGAACCTGCCGGTTGTTAGAGTTGCATTTTAACTCTAAAGTTATTCTCTTCCTCACCTCCCACATAATCGATGGATGAAACTGATTTACCCAAACCAGTGGCAGTTCTGCAATTAGCTTTAGTGACCATAATTTCACCCCTCATATTTTAACTTGTATGAACAAGTAAGAACCAAAAAGTTAACAATTAAAACAAGTTCTAGAAGAACCAGGTTTAAACACCACCTGCTCAGCCAGAAAGCATGAAAATGATTAAAAAGCTGTAACAAACCTAATTTTCTCCAGCTGAGTCCAATCTGCAGAACTATTCTTACTGTAGGACACGGTGATGCTGGGATCTGAGTAACTGAAGCGACATGAACCCGATCCTGGGAAAAGCAATAAAATGAGAAGTGTTACGACACAATGAAGCAATAAATGATCCTCCAATAACCACAGGTGCTGACTGAGCTTTTGTCACATCATCTCTTCTCCTGATTTTAAAGTGCTTTGATTGATGATGAAATTTCCTGTGATCTGTTGCTGAAGGTAAACACAAAATAATGCATGCTTTATGAGTCAGAAATAAAGTAGAAATGATAAATCACAGCAGTGCCGTGTAATCTCTGCAAATTTCCCAAGGGAAGCCAAATAAATTACTTAACACCCCCCACTGCAGGGAAAAAAGCACCATATAATGTTTAAACAAAACCTTCTTATTAGAGAATGATCCACATAGCAGAATTCATAGGGAAAACAGTAAAAAACTGGTTTTTGTATTACTATATAGAAAAAAATATTTCCAGAACTAAAAACACAGTAAGTGATAGGAAAACGTATACAGAATTACTTGAGCCAAGAACAAATGTGTTTTAGGAATTTAAAAGAATAAAGACAATACAAAATTATCTATTTTAGGGACGCCTGAAGAGAATTAAATTAAGAAATCATCCAATATACTCACTACAGCCTATACTTAATAGTAAACATTTGATGCTGATCTGGGAATCTCAGAACACTTTACAAAAATGAACTAATTAAGCCTTACAGCACCCCTGCAAGGTAGGGTAATATGTTTACTTTTGATTTATAAAAGGGTGCCTTCTGGGTGTTGTCACAAAAGATGACCTTAACAATTAATAAAGAGGACAGACAAAATAACAAAAACTGGGAGTGAAAAACTCAACCTAGAAAACATGATAAACAACCTGAGTGGTAATTAAATACACTAAAAATACTATTTTTCCTCAGACACCAGATAATTCATCCATCTCAGAAAATTCAACACCCAGTAAAACAGAAAACGGCATTGTCTGTTCTCCAGACTGTGCTGGTTTTCCAGAACCTGTGCTCCAAAGATCAAAATTTCTACTTCGTAAGCAGGTTGAAATATGAGATTCAAAGCAGCAGACACCAGCTACCTTCCGTATTTAAGAGAAGCAGCTCTCAATTAAACAGCACCTCTGATGGCATCAGGATACTACTGAGCGAGTGCCACAGCTTTGCTCACAGGAGGAGTGTGTATTATGTGTGCTATGAGTAGTGTGTCATGTTTATGTGTGCTTCAGATATGTTCAGTCACACTGAAAATTGTTTATATACATATTTTTATATATATATAAATATATGTATGTGGAAATATATATACATAGATGTGGAAACTGCTGACCATAAAATACTATCATTTTCCAACTCGGGGTACTTATTTTTGTAATGAAGTAAATGGCCTGATTAAAAAGGTGTTAACCGCTTGTACAAGAGAACAGCTTACACGTTTTAATGGGAACATATGTCACTAAGTACACTGCTCGCAGCCCCAGCTCCCCCGAGGCAGTTCGCGTTTGCAGCTCTCAGCTCTACAGAACTGCTCTTCTACTCTGAGATACACATCACATACCTCTGCAGGGGGATAAACACCCCAAAACATGGGATGAAATCCCATCTCCGTAATTTTGCCTGATACATCAACTCGCATCCTGGAAATGACCTGCAAAGTTTGTTTTCTTGTATCTTTTAATAACGTTAAATTGTAAATAGAGGAACAGATACTTCTGAGCCACTCCAGCCGCCTGTGGTACGTTCAGCTGGTCTGACACGTATTCTTGCTGTAACGAGGCACAGAATAATTAATATTGCAAAAGCAGCAGGCCTTTGAGTTACCAACCACGTACCCAAAATGACTACAAAGCAACTGTCTGGTTATATTTTACTGACAAAGCATTTTATTTCTATCATATTAAAACCAAACGATGTCAGGAAGAGCCTTTACGTTTCCTATCTGTCCATCTGCTGAGATGGTCTACTTTACTGAGTGACATCTGCTGCCGGTTCCTACTTCTCTGGCGTTTAGGAGTTCCAACCCTTAATCACACTCGTTCATTTTATTTCAGGGGAATTCTGTTCAAAAATCAGTGAACTTCAGCCAGTTTAACCACTTTGGCTGGCCAGAGGCTGTGAGGCAAAACAGCAACATACTGAGTTTTCTGTTAGACAGAAATTAAAGGAACATAAACAGTAAAAATAACCAGCAATATAGACTTTATAACACATGCCATTTCAGTTTGTGTTACAATCAACTTTTCGTACAGCTTAAACAAAGCCAAGTCCAAATATGCTGCTAAACATTGGAGAAGGCGATATTTGCTGCCCATACCGTAAGGACGATAGGAAGTGAGTGTTCCCTGTCAGTGCAATCAATATGAAAAATGTTGTCTGTTAAATGTGAACATCCTCAAACTACGCAATGAAAATCAAAGTTATTGCTTAAAAGAAATGGAGCCACCAAAAAAGGACTTTAGGAGGTAGACATGGTATTTCGCTCCTGTTATTGGAAAGAGTAGTGGAGACAGAATGAAAAAAGGAGAGACAAGTGCTTTTTATTATTATTTTAATACGCAGGACAGGTTGTATTAAGACTAAAATTAGTTTGGAAAAGTCCTCAAGGTCAGTGTATGTAGCAGTTACTGGCTGTGATGACAAATGTGTTTTTATGTTCTTGACTCAAAATCATAAGATAGAAGATTATTTATCATTTAAGTATCTAATTCTGTAAAACTCAAACTGACAATGAAAAAAAAAAGAATGAAATTCATCCATTTGAAAAAATCATCAACAAGGTTCAGGCATTATTCTTTGCCATTTGAACCACCTTTTTTAAATATACACGAAGCCCCTGGTGCTTGTGTCTTTTACAAAACCAATATTCCTCCTAGCTTATATTAAGAGTTTCTTCCCAAGAAAAGGGAGGAAGGTGAACATACAACTGCACTCCAGGGCAGGGTTTACTGAGATGGTATTGAAAGCCACTGGCTTCCAATATAATTTTCAATATTACTTTCAATATTACTATTACTTAATACTATTACTATTACCCCATATTCCTATTATTTCAGTAATCCTAAACTAGGATTATTTAAAATAGAAATCTGCAGTTTGGATGTTTGCCTCTACCTTGACCAGCAAAGCTATACTCTGACTTTGCGAACAAACAGATGGTTAAAATTCAAGTAGTAACATAGAAGGAACTGAGGGCAAATTCAGCCGGGGAAGGGAGGTGTCCTCCACACTGCCTCCAGAGATGGCAATAAACAGTTTGCCAGTTCCGAGCAGAGCAGCAGGGGCAGGATGTCACCCTGTAAATCTTCCTACCCTCCCATCCTCCAAAGAAAAAGTTGTACAAGATGACATAAGACCTTTTGAATGAGATTAGAATAGGCTTGTTTTAAATCAAGAACGCCCAGGTTTTGAATTAGCTGTGAAAACGTGTAATAAAACACGCACAACGATTACCATAAAGAAGTCTACTTTAGTAAGTTACTGCATTAGAGAAAAATGCCATTTCTTTCTTAAGCCGAGTATGTCACAGCAAACTTGATGCCTCCGTGAGGTTATTGCTAGCTAAATCTGACTAAGAGTTAGGATTATACTTTCAATATTAAGGGCTTGCATGTGTAATTATCTACTGGGGGGAGAACCAAACCACTCCCCAACCAAGAATAGCCTAATTTTTTCTCTACATATGTATAACCAAGCTTGTCTTTAGGTGTCAGGAACAAAGTATTTTTCTCCTTTGGAGTTATTTTACTCCTTTTGATAGGCTTCTAGCTGAAGTTCAGAGACTTCTAAAACTTTTGAAAAAAAGCTGAAGTAAAGGCAACTTTCATAGATTTAATTTTAAATGATAGATTTGAAGCTCAGACAGCAATTTTGGCTGTTATCGAAAACGATGAGGAGCTTCTGTTACAAAACCCAGCTATTTTCATATACTGAATATTCTGAAACACTAATTTCTTTGGTTTGCCCTTTACGTGCTTGGATTTTGCCCCAAGGCAAATTTCAATAAAATAAAATTTGCTCAAAGCTGAATCCAGACACTGATGCTAATAGGGGAGGGTTTTGACTGGCAACGTGTGGGAATGCTAAACAACTCCTGACCGCTGCTTTGTTAATTCTACCTAAGCTAAACAGGAAAGAATAGAAAAAGGAAACAAAAGTATGCTTCTCAATTGCTTTGCTGCTTGTTTCGGAGGATTGATAACCTGTAGCCAGGACCTGACCAGCACTGACCACCTGCACCATGTCCAACTGAGATGGTCGTGACTTTTTCACCATTTTTTGTACGCTTCATTAAGCTGATTTTGGTTTCCTTCAATGCCATCTAAAGTACTAGTGAATATTTTATGCACCTTATTTTTTAAAATATCATGTAGGTAGAAGTACTAAGAGCATAGCGTTTCAGGAGAGATGTTATGAAGGCACTTCATATCAGGCATTTGTATCCAGGTATTCAGTTATTTGTATCCAGGCTGACAATGGCAGGCAAAATTAATTCTCACTACAGCTTTGCCTCCAACTGTGTCAGATTTACAGAAACCCGAGCCATACGGCTGTTGGTCTCTAAGATTTCTTAACAGCATTGATTAGAAGCTGGTGTTTTGCTGAGATAAAACTGGGTGCCATCTGCAAGGGAAGCAATATTTTGCTCCTTATAGACTGTGACGTCCTCTGCCTCTTGACAACCTCTTGATGGTTCCTGCAAGTGCTTCCGTGGATAAGCAGATGAGATATCTAATGCTGGCTTTAAGGAGAATGAATCTAATGTGGAACTGTGCAAGAAAAATTCACACAAAAAACTGTAGAAGGGTTTGAATTGTGTCCTGACTGTGGCCTGAAAAACAAAAGGGAGCTGAAAAAAATCACATTTATCTAATGCTAGAAGATTGCTTTGATTCATTTTGCTAATGTGATGAATAATGATTAGTGTTTGCTAAGGACGATGATTTGCTGATATCGCTTGAATTAAGCCAAACTGGATAGTATAAATTACAAGTGGTCAGATTTGGCTGGCTTGCTAATAGTTTTTTCCAAATTAATGAACCATACAGTCTGG